AATAAATTTCTTCTCTAATTATTACATAAATTATTATCTTCTCTAATTATTACATAAATAATATCTTCACTGTCTTCGCTAAATGTTAAATAAATTAATATGTTAGCTATATAAATTAATAATATCTTCGCTAATTATTACATAATTAATACATCGCTAATTATTAATAAATTAATATATTCGCTCATTATTAAAAATGTAATATATACGTTAATGATTAAATAAATAATTAGTTTGTCATGATTTTGTTGGTTATTCGCTAATTATTAAATCATTCTTGTGCAGTTTGTATTTTTCAATTCCCGCTATTAATTAATCGGTCTGGACCGGTCTGAACCGGTCTAAGATCGGGAACTGAAAAACCTTCAGTCCCAGTCCAAAGTCCGGTCCAGACCGGTCTTTTTTGGGACCGATCCAACCCTATATATTAGATATAAGATTCTGACTTCAGTTTTCGCGAGGTTTTCAGGGTCCCGAATATTTTTACTTAGAGTACCCGATCCAGTTTACTTAGTACGTTTTTGAGATATAGCAGATTTAACCAGGGGCAAGTTAGCAATAGTCAATCTTTTTTATTATCTCAAAATCTCAATATACATTGTCGTACTGTAATATTTTCTTACAGTCGAAATACATAATACTATACTCTTCACTGTTGTTTGCATTACAGCATTATCTTTGATAAAGTAACGAAATGATTTCACTATAATACATGACATGAGTACACAGAATATTCTAGATTTGAAATCATTGGCTTCTGCATGTGTTGCACAGAAATGATTTACGACTTCATACAAAATTTGGAAATATTACGCCCTTAAATAGGGTGTGCAAAGACCGGCTTTTTCAATAATCAGGTCTAGTTAACATGTCCTTAAAAATTCACAATAATAATCTGTCCTTTTCAGAGATGGAATCCGCAATTGACACAGTTTTGGAATCACTGTAATTTAAAAAGTCATTTCTTAATTTTTTTTTATTATTATTATTACGTAAAGAATGACAAAAGATTTATTATTATTTAATCGATCAAAATATTTAAAACAATATATAGAATCAAGACGGAAGGTGTTAAAGGAGTTTTGGTAGCGGATGCACATGGTTTATGCATTGGAGGTAACTTTAAGATCAACATACTTTTATATTTATTAGTTTAAAAATGAATAAAAAAAAATTTTTTTTTATATATAAATTTGTGAAGCTCGAGGAATAGCAAACCCAAATTGTGCTGGATTTGTCACAGCAATTGCTACACATGCGAAAGCCCTAAGTGATGACCCAAATTCACAAGCACCAACTACAAAGATCGAAGCTGATAATTCGTAAGTCTATTGATTTCTTTATTATTCGTTTTTTTGTAATTTTATCTCTGGTTTACCTTTGGTTAATCTCTGATAACGTAGGATAATATTGATATATAACGATGGAAACCACACTCTTGCAGTTTTTAAATGATTATTGTTATTTATTAGTGTCGGTTATTATTTTTTTAGATAATAAACGACCTTTTTTTTTTAAAAAAAAAAAAAGCCTGTATCTTTCAATTTTACTTATGAAGCCACCTTTTATTTTAACAAAAAATTGATCTATACGAATTTTTCTACAGTTTAACGATGTTAAATTTATGTAAAATGAATTCTCTATCAGTAACTAGATCGCTAACTAGATCTTTCTAACTAAGAGCGTCTCAAGCTACTCCCTCAACGTGATTTGATATTGATTGAAATGATGCCTAATTATTACAATTGATCGAAATAATGATTGCAATCGTTGCTTGAGCAACCATCCTTGGTTTATTCTATTATCGTTATGTCTTCAACAAAATCGTAGCAAAAAAAAAAAAAAGGCGGCTATCCGACTAACAAATGTAATCCTTCGGCAACACCAAGTGCCCCGTCTTCTTTTATAGACTTTATAAAATATTCATATGTTGTTACAGCAACAATATTCACAGCTTTTTGCGCCTTTAGCTTCAAACAAAACCAACGCCGAAAATAATAAACATTTAATTTTTTTTAACATAGAATTAGAAGATAATAATTGTTGGCAAGTTTTGCTCTTTGAGTTTCCTGGGATTTTTTATTAGCGATGAGTTTCGAATATATTATTTTTTTTGACGATTATAATTCACTAAAGATTTATAAAGTAAAGCAAAGTACCTACAATCTCTTATACTCTATTTCTCAGGTAACTCCCTCAATGGGATTTGCTAGTGATCGAGGTGCTACTCAATCGCTTCGATTAATCGAGATTAATTTATGACGATTTTGCCGGTGCAAAATGCGGACTTTAAATTTTAAACACGATTCATTTTTTCAATTTTTCAACCAATCAAATCATTTTATTAACCAGATCGAGAACAACCTTAGCCAATCAGCGTTAAAAAAAAAGATGGTCCACTCTATATTTTTTCAGTGAAATCCAAATTTCGAATTAAATCCTCAAAATTTAATTATACAAATTTTTCTGACGTTTAAGGGCGTTCTCAAGCGCCTCAATTAATGGATAAAAGTATGTCAAAAATGTGTCAGGAATTAAATTTTAATTAACGGAAAATAATTTTAATCGAGCTTGTCATTAAGATGAGTGAGGTAGTTTATTACGTGAAAAATAAAATTTTAAATAGTAAAAAAATGATATGAGTTTGTCATTTCAGTCAAAAAACTTTTTGTCCCCAACCACCTTTTTTTTGCTCTGACTTATCAAATTTTATAAATATTAAAATGAATAAAGTATTGTTCAAGTGTATTCATACTTTTATTATGGATTTTTCATTATTGACATAAACTATTTAGAATCCTCTCGTGATTGAGATCTGCAATTGAGCATCACTACGTACAATTATTAAAAAATCATAGTAATGACAATATTTGAGCATATCTCAATAATACCGTCATTCGTATTATTGACTTTTATCCAAAATGTTATGGCAATAGCTAAAATTACGTCATAATACTTGTGCACTATTTAAATCACTATGAAATCGCATCTCGATTGATGCTTGAGAACACCCTAAGTCGAAATTAACTTCTAGAGTACCAGAATTAGAAAAATTGTCAGCCTAGAGGAGGGGGAGCTATATTTGCATAATAAGTGATAGTCCTCTTATGAGAACTAAAAAATTAAATTTATATGGCTTTATATTAGATTTTATAGAATACAATATATTATATAGGTAAAAAAATAAAAAATTTATATTTTATATAGTATTTGTATTAATATTAATAAACAATAAAGTTAAAAATTAGGGTGTAGCGATTTAGAGAAGTAGTCTAGTCATTATCCACCAAGTAGCAAGTCTAGAGTTTGAATCTCACAAATGATGATTTCGAAAAATTGCTTGTATTATGGTTAATAGTTATCTGTTGATCAGTTAGATCTAGAATTTGTAATCTCAGTAACACCATCTAAATGGGAGCTTTGGTACATAAAACTAGGAAATCAGGATAACTAAAACCTGTTTGGAAAGACCCAAGTGAAGGGGTAGCAGAAACCTTTAATAGTAATACAAGACCAAACTTGGAACCAGAAACCAAGACTGGAGAATTAAATAACCAGGTTCTTGAGAGAGGATATACTAGCTAAACCGCTGAGTTGCCAAAACTGAAAAAAAAAAGACATGTGCTCTAGAAGTATATACCAAAAAGAGGATACTTATAGGGCATTTAATGCCTAGGGAGACTAACCTTTCCAGGTTGCTAGCTGGAAGTAAGGGAGAAACTGATTAAGAATCTAAAAAAAGAAAAGTCCGAATAGAGATACTAGAGTTAAAGTAAATCTTATAAAGGGCATAGTAGTTAAATAAGGGTAACCCTAACTGTGAGTAGGAGCCTCGGCAACTGTGGTACCAGGTTAGCCTAAGTGATATATAGAAGATTCTGATAGGTTTATCTTAAGGATAGACCAAGTTGGTAAGTTCTAAGGCATATATAAAATTTGGACAACTGAATTAGAAGACCCTACTAGGTGGAATTAGATTATAATCAGAAAGTTTAAATAAATAACTTCCTAGTTAGGTTGCAAGTATGGCAGCTAGTATAAAACCTAAGGTAGACTACTTAAATAAACAACTAAAAGTTGTATATGTGGCTAGTTATACTCTTGTTTATAAAAACCAGAAAGTTTAAATAGATAATCTTCTAGTTAGATTGTAGGTATGGTGGCTAGTGTAAAATCCAAAAATAGGTAAACTACTTAAATAGATAACCAAAAGTTGTATATATAGCTAGTTGTACTTTCATTATAACTGAAACTTAATTTCTAATAAAAAGTTATAGCCAAAGAGGTTATCTTTAACACTGAAAAAAAAAAAAATAAAGTTAAAAATTAACTATTCTTTTTAATAATCACTTGGCATCAAAATTCTAAAAAAAATCTAATTTACAAAAAAACAAAAAATTAATATACTGTTAAACCTTTCTAAATCAATTATCTCAAAACTGATAACTTGTTAAATCTAATAAAAAATTAGTCTACAAAGTCTGTTTTCATTATATAAATCTAATAGTTTATAATATTTTCTAAATCTAATAATCTCTCAAGACTGATACAAAATTGGTCCACCATATATATTGGTTTGGAAAGGTTTAACAGTATAATAATATAAAACTAAATTTCAAAGTCAAACTATAAAACAGTATTTATTGTTTAGAAGTAGTTCTTATATGCTATCTGCTAGTAAACTCAGAGTTTATTACTTATTATAGGGATAGTATCTGTTATTTAGAAGTAGTTTTTATATACTACTTGCTATTAGGCTTAGAGTTTATCATTTACTAAACAAGAAACACCTGACTCTATATTAAATATATTAAATTTTTTGTTATTGAAATAATTTTTTTTAATACTTAAAATTTTTATTATTTTTTTTATTATTATTTTTTTTTATAAACAGCTTTGCTTTTATTATTTTAAGATAGCAAACAATTTTTGTAACACTTTTATATTATACAATATATATTACAAAAGCCTCTATTTCTAAATAAAAACCTACTTAATTCAAAAAGAACCCAGGTGCAACTAGCTATTGTAGCTGTTTATCTTTATTTAGTTTCAAAACTTCTTAAGCCAGATAACCAAACATTACTAATTGGTAGCTACTAGCCTATCAAGACTGCCTATTCCTTCTTCTTTTACAACTTTTTTTATCTAGATCTGAGCAAAAAAGTTTATATTTTACTTTCATACAAGAAAAAAAAACTAAAGCTATACTTACAAAAAAAAGAAAATAAATTTAGAAAAAAAAAAAAAAATAGAACAAAAAGAAAACAAAAAAGAAAAAAAGGTTATAAATGCTATTTAATTATAATTAAAAAAAAGATAGAAAAAGCATAAAAAAAGAGTAGAAATAAAAACAGTCAAAATAGCACTATTATTATTTATACCAAGGTTTTAAAAATTATATACTATTGCAATATTTATATATCTCTAATATAAAGCTTTGCCTTAATATAAAATTTTTCTCTATTCTTGCAAATCTAGTCCAGAAGTTTTTCTTTATTCTTTGCCTAATTACTAGGGGGTTCCTAACCTGGGTTATCTAAAATAGTAGCTCTGTATCTGTTTAAACCAAACACATGGTTGCTATCTACCATGTTGTCTGAATTTAAAAAATATAAACAATGCTAATCTTTTAACAAAAGTAAGCTATTTTGCCTACTTTTTTGTAAAATTTTTGTTTCTAGAACAAGTGAGCAATATATACCAAAGGAGAAAGGAAGAGTGTACTAATTTTATAAAGAGTATAAGAGTTATACTATATAGTAAAAATATATTTATCTAAATATCTACTTTTGCTATTACTTTGGTAGTATTTAACATAGCTTTAGACTGGGTCTGCTACTTCTTTGCTTAGTAGCACTTTAGTTTTCTACTAGAAGTCTTACTTATAAGAGTTATCTCTTTTTTATTTCTATTTCAATTTTAACTACATACAGTAAATAACTACTACTAATGATAGAGTTTTGTTCTAAATAAATATATATACTAAGTAGTTTTTATAGTTAGGCTTTTAGTAAAATATTGATACAAAGAATTATCAAAAAGAGTAATAAATACTTAAAATTTTATACTAGTAGTTTTTCTTTTTTCTCTTATTATTTACCGGTCTTTTAAAATTTTTAACAAAAAGTAAGCAAAATAGCTTACTCTCTTCAAAAGATCAATATTATTTATACAGTCAGACCTCCCCAAATGCAACCCCCCTAAATGCAACAGCTCTCTAAAT